TGAATAAATACGGTAGATTAAAAGTATTTTTGTTTTTATTATTAATAACATTATTAAAAATGTTTTTCTGCCTGAAACAGTGCTTCTGGGAAAAAAGCGCAGAAATGATTACCTGTCAATCAAACTGTGAACGCATTAGGAATGCATCATACTCAGAGTTAGCAGCAGCTCAGCAGGTAAACCGTGGCTAACGATGGTAAACAGAGGCTAACGATGGTAAACAGAGGCTAACGATGGTAAACAGAGGCTAACGATGGTAAACMRWGGCTAACGATGGTAAACCRWGGCTAACGATKGTAAACYGWGGCTAACGATGGTAAACYGWGGCTAACGATGGTAAACYGTGGCTAACGATGGTAAACYGWGGCTAACGATGGTAAACCRTGGCTAACGATGGTAAACCGWGGCTAACGATGGTAAACTGTGGCTAACGATGGTAAACTGTGGCTAACGATGGTAAACCGAGGCTAACGAAGTAAACTGTGGCTAACGATGGTAAACTGAGGCTAACAACGCAATAAAAGCTTCGGTCTTTAGCGAGGTTGAACGGCTGCTTGTCATCATTTCCATCGTTAAATTGCTTTAGATCTGCATCCTCTCTCGCAATTTTATTGGATTTGTCCAAAGCCTCAGCAATGATTTAAGTCCTGATGCGTTCTTGAACGCTAGCTTGTTGTTGTTAGCATTTTTAGCAGCACAGACTCTGTGCTGCGTTCAGGAGATAACGGACATTACATGTTCTCAAACTGGGAGTAGCTGTTCTGACCTTTTTTTTGTTTTTAATTATAAAGTTTGTGTGTAACATACATGGTTAATTGGTAAAATAATATTAATAATTCTTAAAATGACTGGTTGTTTTTGAGTATTCTAATTACTTTTCCAGTGAGAAAGTTGTTTTTTCCGACACCACTTGAACGTGGCACAGGTCTCGGGCAGGATGGGAAGCGGCTTGACCAAAAAGGATAAAAATAAGTCAGCACACTTACTGCCACGCTGGAAAACATGAACATACATTATCGGTTCTGTTTGTAATGATATCGGGCTGATAAGTATGACGTCATAATCTCCTGATATCGCAGAAGTGAGGTCTGTACCTTGAAGTCATACGTGTAGTTCGTGTAAGGCATCAGGTTGCTGTCGTAGGCGCTCTTCAGCTGGAAGCTGTGGGTGATGCTCCCGTCAGAGTTGCCGTTCTTCCCGTTGCAGCTGAAGTTGGTCAGACATTCGTTGTAGCGCAGCTCCTTAAAGTCCTTGTGGGTTTCAGCCACTCCTCCGTTGCTCAGGTACTCCACCACACCTGGATCCAGAAACACAGCGTTAAAGTGCGCAGCGTTAGCTCTGACTCGTGCAGCGGCGGGCGGGCCTACCCGAGTCGGGCAGCGAGTTGAGGTCGGCGCACAGGACGATGGGGATGGAGGACGGGTCGGAGGTGGGCGAGCCCGAGGCCACCGAGCTCAGGGCGCTCTCGGCGATGCTCTTCAGCTCCGACAGGAACATCATGGTTTGGATCAGCTTGACGTCCGAGTACTCCGGGTCCCAGTGCATGTGAGCGTTAGCCACGAGGATCAGCTGCCTCTCCTGGGGGGGCTTCATGCCTCACAACATCAACAAATAAATCACATTTTTATCAAACAAAACCAACAACGTGATTTAAATTCACCGCCTGCTCTTACCACTGGAGAACAAATCCTTATTGACCTCCAGCAGCACCGCCACGCCGATGTTGTCTTTGGTCATCACTCTGTTCAGCATGACCTCGGACCCCTCAGAGTTGGCCATGGCCACCTGATTGAACTCCACCGTGTGTTTCTGCACCAGCGTAAACCTGCAGACACGACGGGGCAGCGTGAATCCTCCCAGGAACTCACTAATTAATCCTGCAGCAAGTTCTTAAACTCACTTTTCCGTCTTAAAGAAGATCGCACATCCATCCACGTGTTTCCTCTCCTGCTCCGAAACCAGTTTGGCACGAGATTTGGGACAGAAGTAGCCGTCGTAACCTCGATCTTTTAGTGTTTCCAGAAACATAGTGTAGTACTGCTCCGTCTCCACCTCCTGCAGACAATAAACAGGGTTCATGCAGGGTCTTAGAAAGTCTAAAATTTGAAAATCAAAATTTTAGGCCAAAAAAAAAAAGTCTTAAAAACACCCAGATTTTCATCCAAGGTCTTAATTTTTTTTACTTTCGATCATTCCCAGAAGCGTTGGCTGCATAAATAAACAGTAAAGATCTGTAATCAGAGGTTGATGTGAATTGTCTTTATGAAGCTAAGTTTTCTACGACAGCAGGAAAAAGATGGCACGGTTTACGTCCATCTGTTTGACCTCTTTACCACTACAAGCCCCCACATATGGCAGCTTGTTCACCCACCCAAAAAACAAAGAAGTTCAGCCACGTCCACTGCTTGTTTTTTAAACATGGAAAAGTGTGTTTTCAATGAGACTTGGCTGATATCAGTGATTTTTACACACAGCTGAAAGTGGTCCACAGCTATGGGATCAATCTTGTGTCAGCAGGAACTGAATTTGAATTACTCAGATTGAATCTGAATGTGTATCATTTGAAATTGAATGCATTGGTTTGAAAATAAATGTCACTAAAATGAAACTGAATTTAATTATTTAAAACTGAATTTAAAGTTTTGTATCTGAATTAATTTGCTTTGAAACTGTATTTTGGTTTCTTAAAAATTCAGTTTGACTACTTTCACTTTCAGTTCCATAATTCAGATTTTTGTGTCACATCCTGGTCCTTGAGAAAGCCAGGCAGAGTAATCAAACACAGATCCACAGATTTATGTTTCACTTTGGTGAAGTTTCCCTTCTGTATGTACAGTGGAGAAAATAAGTATTTAGTCAGTCACCAATTGTGCAAGTTCTCCCACTTAAAAAGATGAGAGAGGCCTGTAATTGACATCATAGGTAGACCTCAACTATGAGAGACAAAATGTGAAAAAAAATTTGAGAAAATCATTTTGTCTGACTTTTAAAGAATTTTTTTGCAAATAATGGTGGAAAATAAGTATTTGGTCACCTACAAACAAGCAAGATTTCTGGCTGTCACAGACCTGTAACTTCTTTTTTAAGAGGCTCCTCTTTCCCCCACTCATTACCTGTATTAATGGCACCTGTTTGAAGTCGTTAACAGTATAAAAGACACCTGCCCACAACCTCAAACAGTCACACTCCAAACTCCACTATGGTGAAGACGAAAGAGCTGTCGGAGGACACCAGAAACCGAATTGTAGACCTGCACCAGGCTGGGAAGACTGAATCTGCAACAGGCAAGCAGCTTGGTGTGAAGAAATCTACTGTGGGAGCGATAATCAGAAAATGGAAGACATACAAGACCACTACTAATCTCCCTCGATCTGGGGCTCCACGCAAGATCTCAGCCCGTGGGGTCAAAATGATCACAAGAACGGTGAGGAAAAATCCCAGAACCACAAGGGGGGATCTAGTGAATGACCTGCAGAAAGCTGGGACCAACGTTACAAAGGCTACCATCAGCAACACACTACGACGCCAGGGACTCAGATCTTGCAGTGCCAGACGTGTCCCCCTGCTTAAGTCAGTCCATATCCAGGCACGTCTGAAGTTTGCTAGAGAGCATTTGGATGTTCCAGAAGAGTACTGGGAGAATGTCATATGGTCAGATGAAACCAAAGTAGAACTATTTGGTAAAAGCACAACTCGTCGTGTTTGGAGGAAAGTGAATGCGGAGTTGCATCCAAAGAACACCATACCAACTGTGAAGCATGGGGGTGGCAACATCATGCTTTGGGGCTGTTTCTCTGCAAAGGGACCAGGACGACTGGTCCGTGTACATGAAAGAATGAATGGGGCCATGTATTGTGAGATTTTGGGTGCAAACCTCCTTCCATCAGCAAGGGCAATGAAGATGAAACGTGGCTGGGTCTTTCAGCATGACAATGATCCCAAGCACACTGCCAGGGCAACAAAGGAGTGGCTTCGTAAGAAACATTTCAAAGTCCTGGAGTGGCCTAGCCAGTCTCCCGATCTCAACCCCATCGAAAACCTTTGGAGGGAGTTGAAAGTCCGTGTTGCCCGCCGACAGCCCCAAAACATCACTGCTCTAGAGGAGATCTGCATGGAGGAATGGGCCAACATACCAGCAACAGTGTGTGCCAACCTTGTGAAGACTTACAGAAAACGTTTGACCTCTGTCATTGCCAACAAAGGATATACAACAAAGTATTGAGATGAACTTTTGTTATTGACCAAATACTTATTTTCCACCATTATTTGCAAAAAAATTCTTTAAAAGTCAGACAAAATGATTTTCTCAAATTTTTTTTCACATTTTGTCTCTCATAGTTGAGGTCTACCTAWGATGTCAATTACAGGCCTCTCTCATCTTTTTAAGTGGGAGAACTTGCACAATTGGTGACTGACTAAATACTTATTTTCCCCACTGTAACAGAGTAGAAAATGTTACATTCACATCACATCATGGATCACATATTGATCAGATGCTGCTGCTGACTGATCCATGATGTGATGTAAATGTAACATTTTCTATAGAAAGTTAAAATTAATCACTGCAATAAAATAACTTTGTCTGTTTTTGTCACTTTTACAGTGTGGAATTAAAAGTGAAAGTAGTCAAACTGAATTTTTAAGAAACCAAAATACAGTTTCAAAGCAAATTAATTCAGATACAAAACTTTAAATTCAGTTCCTATTTAGTGAAATTTATTTTCAAACCAATGCATTCAGTTTCAAATTATGCACATTCAGATTCAATCTGAGCAATTCAAATTCAGTTCCTGCTGGCACAAGATTGATCCCATAGACAGCAGTCGATATGAAGAACTGTTTTATTAGAACAATTTAGTGTTCTTGTAGTAAAGTTAAATATTATTTAATAGCTAAATTGATTGCAATAAAAAAATTTATGATAAAATTTCTGGGACCATTTGAAAGTTTCTGTTAATGTGTCGGTTTGGTCTTAAAATGTCTCTAAAAGGTAAATTTAACTTTCTGAAGCCTGCATGAGCCCTGAATAAATTTACCTGCTTCTATTTAGTCCCGATTGTCTCGACGGACCAACGCTTGAATAAAACCCTGAAGCTTCACCTGCAGGTTGATGATGTCGGCGTCGCAGCTGGTGATCTCCTCCATGATGCCTTTCTTGCGGTACTCCCAGTTCAGCGCCCAGGACGGGCAGTAGCCGTACAGCTGCCGCGTGGCGTATTTGTCACAGAGCACGTTGTAACACATGACCGTGAAGACGGCCGTGGGCGTCATTTGGTCTCGCTCTTTCAGGGTGATCCACGGCCTCTGGGGGAGCTGCTCCGGGTGAACTGGGAACGAGGCAGGGCAGAACGACGGTCAGCGCTCGTCCAGCCGTTTGCTACGACACACACACAGACCGTTTACCTGCTAGATTGTCGAGCATGTAGTTCAAAAGCTTCCTGGTTCCGTCGGGTTCCTGGTAGATGTTGAGGATGTCCTGGGACAAAGGGTTTCCTGCAACAAAACCAGGTCGCAGTTAAACTAAACATAAAAACGCAAAACAGGACCAGCATTTTATCCGTAAATATTTATATTATTATAAAAATAAAATCTCACCCTTTAGCCCCAGAGTTTGCAGCCGGAAAAGCCTCCCAAGTTCATAAGGCAGAACTCGCAAAAGATTGTTGTTTAAAAGCAATTCCCTGCAAGAATCAAGAC